CCCCCCCCCCCCCCCCCGTAGAGACCAGAGAACCCACACATTCATTCTCCTAGGCTCTCATGAGCATCTCAAAGGACAGGACCCATAGGTTGTTTCTGTCCTTTATCCAATCTTTAAACTTCCCCAATAAACTCATTCCCCCTATTTTCTTTCTCTAAAAGCACCCGACAGCCTCTAGGACTCCTCCCCAACTGATGGTATGTGCTTCAAATCTGGACTCCAAGTAAGCTTCTGTAAAGACCCCCTCTCAGCACCACTCCTAGAAAGGGCCTGGGTCACACTCAGTGTTGTTTCCCCCGCAGCAGGGATCCCCTCACGCTCAGCACTGTCCTTGGACCCCGGGAGTGTGGACACCTGCTAAATGGCCACAGTTCTTAGGGACAGCAAGTTCTTAGGGACAGCAAGTTCTTAGGGACAGCAAATTCTATTTGGAGAAATAGTTTAACCTGGTTTTTCAATAAATCCGTTACATAAATGCTTCTATTTTTCTGTCCTGTCCTATATAGACACATTCTACGTGGGATACAAAAAAAAAAAAAAAAAAAAAATCATGTATTTGATTATCTTCTTTACTGTAAGTTAAAAAAAAAGGGGGCACTACATTATAATACAGTGTTTTATTCTAGCACCACTGTTTGGCTAATAGGAGGCACCCAAAGTATCTGAATAAGAATACATCTGACTCTTTTCCATTAACTCTTAAAACATACTTTATCCAGCCCAAAGTTTTATGGACATTTTAAGTTCTCCAGAAGTCATTTTTAAAAGATATAACGGGGGGAGGGGGGTGCCTGGGTGGCTCAGTTGGTTAAGCTTCCGACTCTTGATTTTGGCTCAGGTCATGATCTCACTATTCGTGAGACTGAGTCCCTGCTTGGGACCCTCTCTCCGTCTCTCTCAAGAAACAAAAACAAACAAACAAAGAAAAAAACAGCTTAAAAGATATAACATCAACTACTGCAGAAACTGGTGTTAAATTGGAAGGTCTAAACTGCACTATGGGGAACTGTCTCTCACTCTTAAGTAGTGTATTATACAGCTCACGTGGGCATGCGGGGGGGGGGGGGGGGCATCAGCAGGCAGGATTCCCAGACTTACCTTGCTGTGAGGGTCAGCAAACATTCGAGTGAAGATCTCACACAGTCTTTTCAATTCTACTCGACTAGAGGAAATAAAATGGAAAGAAATGAACTTGGAATTTCATGAATCAACACTGAGATTAGTGACAGCTTTTGTTTTTTCTGTATTTTGAGAAGGGGGAGGCGTAGAGAGAGGGGGCGACTGAGAATCTCAAGCAGGCTCTACACTGTCAGCGCAGAGCCCAGTGTGGGGCTTGAATTCACAGACCATGAGATCACGACTTGAGCCGAAATGAAGAATCGGAGGCTTCACCGACTGAGCCACCCATGCACCCTGTGACAGCTTTGTAAAAAATAATTTTTATGTAACAGGGACGCCTGGGTGGCTCAGTTGGTTGAGCGTCCAACTTTGGCTCAGGTCATGATCTCGTGGTTCGTGGGTTCGAGTTCCACATGAGGCTCTGTGCTGACAGCTCAGAGCCTGGATCCTGCTTTGGATTCTGTGTCTCCCTCTCTCTCTGTCCCTCCCTTGCTCACACTCTGTCTCTCTCTCTAAAAATAAATAAACACTAAAATTAAAAAAATTTTTTTTTAAATAATTTTTATATAACAAAGTTTTTTTCACAAATAAATTAACTTTAGGTCATGATGAAATTAAGTAGAAATATAAAATCATGATAGTTGGGCTCTCATCTGAAAACAAGGAAACAATCTTCCAGAGTGACTGCTGAAGTTCACACACATGGGGGAGGCAAAGCCATGAGCTAAACCCCACTCATTTGAGGTCTGTCTTCCACCTGCCACAGATGAAACTCAATGAGATAAACTAGGAAAAGCATGGTGGTTTGGGTTGAGACAGACCTGGATTTTAATCTCAGTTTTGCTACAAAGTACTCAGATGTCTTTAGATCTGTATCAAACAAATGACTACAGGGAGGGTTAAGGAGAGAACACGCTTCCTTCCTACAGCTACTGAGACAAGGCAAATGTTCATTTCCTGTTAGTGCCCTTTTGCTTCTTCTTATCCTTATCTATACCACTGAGGCCCATTTTACTTCAAGGCTTGAGTATAAGGATCATCATCTTGCCCCCAAATTACCCCCTGAGTAATCCCCCTTCACACATACGACACAGCTGGTTTGATGATCTACTTTAACATCAGTAACACAGTGCTCTAGATTAGACCAGTCCCAATCAATAGATTTCTAGAGATTATTCAACGGATACTTGGTCAACATTAACATATTAAGAAAGGGGACCACCAGATTAAGCAGATTCTGAGGAATCATCATCTCAATAAACCATCCTCATTTTGTTGTTGACAGCTCACTAGTGAATGTCAGAGGCTACCTGAATTTCAGAAGGCATAGGAAAAAGCTGCTCAAGACCTCTTCGTGACCAGAATGGAATAATGGGGGGCTGGGGGGAGGTAGGAGGACAGCACATAACAAGTCCGAATATGGCAGGGTTGAGTCTGACTGACTGGAGGGGCACACTTAACAGCATGAGGATTCATCAGTCAATGTTCACTTAGCTTCGCAGGGCCCACCTGTGACCATAAACTTACACACGTTCAAAATTTATCTTAGAAAAACTATCCAGGGGCACCTGGGTGGCTTAGTCGGTTAAGTGTCCAACTCTTGGTTTCGGCTCAGGTCATGATCTCACAGTTTGGGTGGGATTGAGCCCCAGGACTGGGCTCCACGCTGACAGCTGGGGGCCCACTTGGAATTCTCTCTCTCTCTCTCTCTCTCTCTCTCTCTCTCCGCCTTTTTCTGCCCCTCTTCCCGCATGTACGTGCTTGCTCTCTTTCTTTCTCGAAATAAACTTTAAAAAAAAATTATCCAAAGAATATACTGCATGGTCACGATCTCGCGGTCCGGTCCGTGAGTTCGAGCCCCGCGTCGGGCTCTGGGCTGATGGCTCAGAGCCTGGAGCCTGTTTCCGATTCTGTGTCTCCCTCTCTCTCTGCCCCTCCCCCATTCATGCTCTGTCTCTCTCTGTCCCAAAAATAAATAAACGTTGAAAAAAAAAAAATGAAAAAAAAAAAAAAAGAATATACTGCATTTCATGGATTCTAACTTTCTCAAATTCTTCACGTTGTAACATTTCTATAATTTTGAGCTTTGTCTTACAATCAAAGACATATTAGTATTGCCATGGTTTAATAAGTAAGCATTTCTTCTTAGAGGGATGTAAAATAACGGTGCATCAATGGTGCCTTAGATTTGATGAAGTATGGTATAAACACATACTTTTTTGGTGTGTGTAATACAAGCTCATTTGAGAAAATTTATGAAACACAGAAACAAAGGCAAAAACAAAGTAATCACTTCTAGTGATAATACCGTTACAAGTTTAAAGTACTCTTAGTATGTCATTACTATACACATTTATAAGGTATATATGTGTTTGCATATTGAAACATTTTAGATGGAGACTGCTATCATTTTACCCACGATCCCAAAGTGTAATGAACCATATCAACCTGCAGAGTTGTTTGATTTTTTTACCTAAACTGCAAACTGTACCAAGATTTCTCAAACAACACCTACCTGATACATATGAACTGTAAGGGAACCAAATGTTTTACGCACCTAATAAAGTACAGAGTATTTGCCAGAGGTTTCAAAGTCTCTGGAAGGCAAAGACCACGTCTTAGCCATCTTAGCACTCGTAGTGCCTGACCCTGAGCCTTGGAACTCTGGAAGGACTGCACGAATGGCAAGGAATCCATTTAAGGTGCTGATGAGCAGACCATGAGACTTAGAACTTGGCTCACAACCTCGGCCTCCTGTCCCCTCACCTCAGTGTTCTTTGGCTCTTCAGCAAGTTCTGCAGGCCGAGAAGCCCTTCTTTCCTTTCCGACCAGTTGGAACTGGCACAGTGGTTGAGAACTTCTGCTACGTCCTCGGTCTGCCGCAGATAGTGGGGAATGCCGCCGTTCCTGGAGCCGTACGAGCGCTCAGAGCAAACGCTTGAGGCATCGCTGTTGGCATCGTCATCAGAATACATCCCGTACGGCTCATACCTCCTCCTCACCGGCTTCTTCTGTCAGGTCCAACGGAGGTGGGAGTGACGGAGGAAGAAATGGGAAGGCGAAATGACCGCGAGTCACGCCAAACAAAATCGGCAACAGTTAATGGTAAAAAGATACACGCACGCACACGGGCACGCAGGCACGCACACAAGCACTGCACTTTCCTGTGCTTACAGATTAGAGAAATGAAAACAGAAAAGCAGACGTCCAGTCGGGATAGGATAACAAGCAGAGCAATCCACAGCAGAGACGAAAAGAGTACGGTCTCTAGTCCGGTGTGTGGACTTTGCAGTAAGACAGACTTGGGTGGTCAGCCTGCAGCCGCTGACGGGCTGAGGAAGCCCGGAAAGCCTCCTAACCTTCCTGCTCCACTCTCCCCATCTTTGAAATCACAGTAACGATACCTCTCACACGTTTGTTGCGAGGATATAACGGAAGGATATGCTAACTAACCTGGGCCAGCCCCTGCCACACCGCAAGTAAGTGTGCCCACCAGCCCCTTTCACAATGAAAAACAATAGATCTTGAGCACGGTCAATGGGAAAATTTGTTTGAATATTCATGCTTCCTTAAGAAAGTCTAAAACTGAAATGGCAGAGCAGAGTAGCCCCTGTCAAAGGATTCTTAAATTATCTGAACACAAATAGGCTTCCTGTAGATCCTTCATTTGTTTCTCTTACCCTGAATATAAAACTGGAAGTTAAACCCATAAATAATATAGCAACAGCTAGTAAACTGATAAAATACAATTTTCCCTAAAAGAAAAAAAAAAAAGTTATTGGCCAAAACCATACAAATGTAATCTTTTTTCTTTTTCTCCCCCCAAATGTAATTTTCTAATTAACACGGCTTGTCCATCCATCACAACTTGCTCGGGACAGTTCTGTCTTATGCCTCTTGTCCCAGCATAGTTATGAATAGTCCCCCCTTTCACAATCATCCTTGTTAGGGTGGTAAATTACAAGATCATCTTATTTATGTATAAATTAGATCCATAAAATAAGAAAAATGTTGAATACATCCATCCATGAAATAAGAACGTTAACAGTAGACACAAACTGGGTTAATAAAATAAAGCACTGATAGGAGAAGGAGCACAGCTTGACATAAAAAAACCAACAACCAAAAACCAAAAATCAAAAACCAAAAAAAACCCAAAAAACAAAAAAGAACTAGAACAGATGAGAGAGGAGACTGATTCCATCGCTAACAACAGCTTCACTAGACTGGACAAATCATAATTCAGATCAGGATTTCTACATTATACTACACACTGTGTTGCTTTCACTAGCTCCTAAAGGAAATATACTTGCAACAGAAAAAAATGAAGTTGTAAAACAAAAGTTAAAGCACTGGTACCTTGCTCCTGGAGTCTCCTAACAGCTGTAGGCAGGAAAATATTGAAGGATGGGGAAAAAGCATAGAGAATTATGTCAGAAGCATATGTGGGGATTGTTCTTGCAACAAAAGTGTACAGCAAAACATATCTTAGCAAACCAAAAATACAGGTTAGCAAGCAATTCATATCAAGCGAATAATAACAAAGAACGCTTTCACAATGGCATCTCCTAGCCCTTCCTACACCTCCTAGAAACACCTTCTAGTACTTGCCATACTCCTTTGCTATGCTAAAAACTCCCCCCACCGCCGTGGTACATCTCTAAAGTCACTGTTAATTCTACCTATTCCCATGCTAGCTTCTGTCTGCCCTGGGGCTTCTATCCTGGGAAGCACATCTGTGTACCATTCCTGAGCTCTCTCTTCTGCAGCGGGTCACTCGGGGAGACCAGGCAGTTTGCACAAAGAGTAAATAAGGGCAGCCTGAGTGGGCTGACGGCTAGAGCTCAGAGAAAAGCCCAAGCCAAGGAAAGCCCAAGCTCAAGTTCTCAAGTCCGACTCTGGCTCCTAGCACTTGGTGCACAGTCCCTTGCGCAGCTCTTTAAAGAGCGAGGGAGGGAACTCCCCCACCTTAACTGGAAGTCCCATTTAACTAAGGGTTTTGCACATCCATCATTCCCCCCCCCCCCCCCCCACCGACCTCCAAATAGGGTCCCTGAATAAGTAAGCGATTCCCAGTGCTGCAGCTTGGAAGGAAGAATCTCTTCCCAGAGTTCTGTTCCAGCTCATGACTCTGAAGTCAAAGCCATGGTTAAAGCAATTATCCTGAACTCCAGTACCTGCCAGGAAAAAAGCCCTTCTGCACAGAAGGCCGATGAATAGAGCTGGCCAGGCAGCCCCTGCTTACAGGAAAAGCATCGGGAGAGTGGCACACTGCTTGCTCACAGTCGCTTGTCAAAGCACTCTGACTACGCAAGAATAAATGAGGGCGACACAGGAAGGGGTGAAAGCGAGAACCCGTGCAGCCAGGGGCTGTAACGGTTTGATCAGATGCAAAACACGGCTGGGTTTAAAACTTCTGGTTCTGAAACCAGATACTTTTTTCCCTTAGAAAGACAATGTATCTTAAAACAGCACAAGTAAGGCCAGAGATCAGACAGTTCTAAAGAGGATCTGCTTTAAATGCTGAGCACATCAACTAGAATATGCTAGAGGCAGTGTCACTGCCAGTTGAAATGCATCTTTAGAAGGCAATCTGACCACAAGCTGATTCTACCAGGGAGTGTTTTGCTATAACCACAAACTGAAGGATCTCTAACTGCTTTATATTACTATTATTATTATTATATATTTTTAGAAACTACATTATACTGAGGCAAAAACATTCCACCAGCGCTTTATGTCCTCAGAGTCCATCGGCATTAACGTTTGGGAAAGTTCCCTTAACAAGGACTTAATGACTCATTTTAAAAGACGAAACAAATGTAAAATTGTATGGAACAACTAGTGTGGTCATCGAATAAGTGTGAGATTTTCAAACCACTCACACTGTTACCTACTATTATAATGATGTGTTTAGGCTATGCCATCAGAGCCTGTAAAGCAATAGAAGCCACAGAATGAAAAAAGGAAACGCTGGAAAAAAAAAAAAAAAAAAACATGGAGAAAAAAGGGAAAAAGCAGCAGCCCAATGACATCAAAACTTCCTTGACATGAAGAGCACAGAAGAAATACTTGATGCTAGTGTTTTCTGTAAGGCCAATCTTCACTTCTGTACAGGGATCCATCCAAGTTTCAAAAGAAAGAGATAATAATACAAGTTTACACGTTATTTACACAGGGTGTACACAATATTTACACAATTCACACAGTGCCGGGGATGCCTGAGGACGCTGATTTGGAGGCGATCTTCTGTGAGGAAAATGGCGGATGAGTAAGTCAGAGAGACTGCACGCGCCGTGACTCTTACCAAAGCATCAGCGACAGCAGCTTCAAGGTCCGTACTCGTGCTCAAAACCCGCATGGCATTCACAGAGCCAGGTATTCTTCCTGCCTGGCCAAGCCCAAACCGGTCTATTCAAAAAACAAAACCAAAGATATGTCACTTTAATTCACATTTTCTCAGTTGTTTGCAGGGGCTCCTGCCTCTTCCCACCTACTGGACAGAGGCACTGGAAAGTCTCTAGCCACACAGAACTACACTTCCCTTGCAGTCCTAACTAGACCTGACTTGTTCACCAGCGGCAGAGGTCAAGCTGTTCGTGCTGAATGCTATCGTGCCACAAAGCGTCCTGACAACTGAAATGGCTCTTTAATGATGTTTTGCTGTGTTAAAGTGTTGAGACTTGGGAGAGAGGGGAGCTTATTCTAGAAGTGAGCTGGGCGGTGGCATTGACTCTTTTGATCTATTTAGCATTCCCTCTGGAGGCAAGTGGCCCTGATGTTCGGGTCAAACTAATTAGGGAGCTTCGTGGTTTGACAAGTGAGTTCTAATGCAATGTGTAATAAGAAGTTAAAATTTGAAACTAATGTGTTCAATTGATCTCTGCAAATTTTCGTCAGTGCCACTACTGTTTAACTGTTCTTATTAACTGAGCTCAATTAATTTTGGGTACTTGTTCATGATGCCTGTGTCACCAAAGGTTATTTAAACTTCATTTTATTCAAAGTCTTCAATGATCATCAGAAAAAGCTAGTATCTCCACTGCAAACCATTAATCACTCAGATAACATTAGTATAAAATTTTCCTGAGTCTCTCAAAGGATTTGAATTTCAAATGATAGTCTTTATACATGTAAACAAAATGGATACAATCCAAGGAATTTAAAACAAATTCCAGCAGTTTAATTATTTTAAGTTCCATTATGTTAAGGATCATGGACAAAGAAGGCAAACTTTTTACAAGTCCCATTATGTCAGGTGAGCAGCCTTCCTTGAGAGGTGCTGAGCTTGGAGCTACATACAACAGGAGAAAAGTTCATATAAAAATCATACTTCCTAAGTGTCTCACACCTATTTACTGGCAAACGTTTCTTATTTAAAACACTAACGTGTAAAAAAAAATCTTTGAAGAAAAATGTTAGATAAAAAAGTGCTTTCTTTTTATGAACAAATAAGACACTGTTTGGACTATATACAAACATATATATATATTCTCATAATGGAGCATTTAGGGGAAAAGGAAAGCTAAATCTGCTTTACATGAGTTGATCTTTCTTGTAAAGTGATATGTTTAAAACTCTGGATATGTAACGAGAGTTCTTTAGGAAACAAGAAGTTTCAAAGTGAGGTGTTCCTTAGCTCATTAAACATGTCAGTTTCAAAATTTTCACCTTCCAGCGCCACAGAAAGGGGAAAAAATTTAAACACCGCTAACCAAAACGTTATACACTCATGAATTTTTATAAAGAAACAAAAATTGTATGTTATACTATCCCCTTTTTTAATGTACTTGTTGGTCAGACTGCATGATGTCTTAAATCATTATGTAAAAGATGATTAAATGTGCCATATAAGAGACCACAAAACAATAATATCTAGATGTCTCCCTGTGTGTGTGTGTGTGTGTGTGTGTGTGTGTGTGTGTGTATTATCAGTTGAAATATAAAACTCGTGTAAATTTGAAATTTGCTGTGCATATAGTTTTATACATCATCTTTGTTCTTTTTTCCATTAAAAAAGGGTAGATAGTAAGGGATTTATGAGTAACAAAATGAAAGTAATTCAGTTATAAGCCATTTAAAAATTACCCAGCATAAACTTAAATAAAATGGACTCTAAAACAATTAAAAAACAAAAAGTATATCACATGCCAGCAATTCCTGCTCCAGGGATAATACTGATATTTTGCTTTTAGACACAAAATTAAAGCTGTAAGAACAATGCAATTACTTTGTGCTTCCCAGATGCATCCAGCTCCGCCATACAGTGACTGCACGTCACTGGATAGATGTCACAGATCATTTGAATTTCAAATCTGAGGGGGAAATGCTTGTCTGGATTTGAGCAAGGTTACAAGCCTTTTGTTTTCACCAGACCACAATCTCTTCTACGCTCTCACTGCTCTTGTGTTATCATGAAGCTCCGTTCCCCGAGACGGATGCGTGTGCCTGTGCCCTCATCTTCTGGAGGGTGTACCCAACAGAGTGTAAGTAATAAAATGCACAGCCCGCTTCACTTCGAGGAAGAACAGAGAAAGTAACTCTGTGAACGGGTGACAGTTGTCACCATCAACAGTCTGTGACTTAATACATACTGCCGTGCTCAGGTGAGGAACTCTGACTCAGGTCAGTAGGGACTGTTAGCGTATAAAAAGCCAGCACACTTACATATTTCTGTATGCTTACTTTTTGCCCCAAATGGCTAACCAGGGGATTTTTGGTATCGTTAAAGCGGGCTGGGATGAAACATTTGGGGACCACAGGCTGCAAAGGCTACCTTCGGCCTGACCTGATTATCTGAATCGTGACCTTGTTTTTCCGTAAGTTTTAGGACAGTATTTATACCTGTGAAATTATGTATTCTGTGATTTGGGACGTCTGGTAACTAGATAGTTCCTCCAGATCACCAGAACCTGACACTAATAATTAACATCAGTAATCACCACTTTTTGGGAGCAAAGACTTTGGAAATGCAAGACTGTTGGATGACACCCATACCCTATTTCCCCAAAGGGACTTTTCATGATACCTATTTTGGGTGCTTGTTCTCCTGAGGGAGGGACTAAAAAGAGGGGGAAGAAGCCCTTCCCCGTGTTTCTGTTTTGTTTTCACATAAACATGAGCACTGGAGAGATGATGTTGTCAAACAGGCGATAAAGCATCTACGGCCTATTAACAGAACCATAAACATTCAACAACGGAAAAAAACCAAAGCACACTGGGGAAAACAAACATGAAGTGCATACATGCCAAGTGCTAGGCGACACTGACTGAAACAAATGCTAGAATGAGCGTGAGACGGGACGTATGAAGAAGCCGAATCATGCAGTTAGCACTTGTTCACCTGACTGCCCAACAGACTCAGCAGTGGAGAGGGCACTAGTGGACCTGGAATGACGTCGAGAGGCTGCAGGTAAAAGGAACGGCAACACCCACAGGATTAACACACGAGTACCCGACACAGAAAATGCCACAGTCTGAAGGAAACGCAGGGACTGCTCCCAACAAGGCCATGTTTTCTCATGAACGGAAATGGCGCTGGAGATGAATGGATAGCAAGTGCCGATCCCCAAGCTCCGCGGCAGCCTGCTGGCTCTCACACGGCTGTTACACACACAGGCACAACGAAGGCACTGTCTGCGGTGCCTAAGCTCAGACTCCACGTTTATATTCGCACCGCGAAGCCTCAGTCAGCCGTTATGGAAGTATGCAACATGAAGGACGTCAGGAGTCACAGAGCACCGTCTATACCCGGTGGAGCATCAGGAGAATGGATTATTTACTCAGCTCACAAGATGCCTCATCGGTACATGATGCATATGCGACCATGCACCAAACACAAAAGCATAAAGGTTCATAACGTTATTTGAACAGAAATGGAAGGAAGTCACAAGAGAGGGGGCTCAACAAATGAAATCCTGTGTTCCCCCAATTTTTGCTGTTTTTCTGCACAAAAATCCTAACGATTAACGAACTTGTCGTTTCACTGTTGGGAATTTAGTCGGAACGGGTTTAAGGAGCCTTCTTGGCGAGGCATTGGCAGTACTCTGGCTAACCGCGCACCAGCTCCACACGACAGCCGGGGGCGAGTCCTGCTTTGGTCACAACCAGCGGGACGACCTTGGGCGAAGCTCTACATCTCTGTGTCTCAGCTTCCGCATCTGGAAATGTGCTAAAAAGGGTACGTACCTCTTGGGAGTAGAGACGGGTGCGAGAGATCTTATATAAGGCACTTAAGGCAGTGCCGGGCACTGAGTAAAATGGTGGTAGCGGTAGCAGTGGGGGCCGGTACGCTGCTGGTGCTGGCGGTGGCAGCGATGGTTACGAGTAAACTGCGACTTACATGTCTACGTTAAATATCACTTGATTAGCAGATATTCACGAGCGAATTAATTCAGCAATTGGAGGAATTACATGCTCAACTCCGTCTTCACATAGAGAGAATAACTCTCAGAAATAACCATGAAACTGACTTGGTTCGAATCACCAATTTCTGGAGCAGAGTGCCATGCAGTATATGGTTCCTTACCTCAGGGAAAAAACCCCAAGAGATAACACGCTTACACTCCTTACTCTGAAAGGAACCCGGTGGTTGCATCATGGGAAATTCTCAGGTTTGACAAACAAAGTACTACCCAGCAGTGCTACCACTTCTCACCTATGCTAACAGAGTGCAGTATCCTGTGCACGTGAACACTTCCGTCTCGTTGTAAAATACCAAAACCTCAAACTCTTGGACAGAATTTAAAAAAAAAAATTTTTTTTTAAAGTAATCTCCACACCCAACACAGGGATCAAACTCACGACCCCGAGATTGTGTCACATGCTCTACCGACTGAGCCAGCCAGGCGCCCCCATAATTTTATTTTTTTAAGCTCATGTCACTTGATGAAAATGCACGTATCTTCATAAGTGGTACGAGTGGTATCAAATAGTAAAAGCTACCTCGTGGATAAGGACAAATTTCTACCAGCTCACAAAAAGGGAATTTCTAATTCCTCAGGATGCACAAAAATAAATTGGCAATCTCTAAAACAGATATAAAATAATCACTTTCCTTAAACAAACAAACTGGCAAAATGCTTTTTAAGACGGAAGCATACCATTTACTGTGCAACGTTAATCAGTGCCATATCCTGGTAGTTTAAACTGGAAATACCTTTTAAGCAACGCCTGAAGGTTGCTTAGAAAGTCGTCCTTTGGTTCTGTTTCAACAGGCTATTCTACAGTAAATCTGTCATGGAATGAATCCTTTGTTCTCAAGTGAACACCCAACAATGGAATCCGAGGTGGACCCTCTTACAATCAGAGCCTGATTTACAGCTGAGCCCTTACTTTCATTTTGATATTGTCACTGTAACCACAGAAACATCCTTATTAAAATGGTCCAAGATAACTTTGTAACAAAAAAAAAGCAAACTTAAAACCAGTATATAATCACCAAAATGTAATTATTTTCACACCCCCCCCACCGACCTTTTTTGAAACAAAACCTGGCTATATAAACTGACCCAAAGGGGCACTAACACAAAAATCTCACTAATTTACAGAGAGGGTGGGAAACAATTATTAACGTGAATAAGAAGGAAACTTCATATTGTCTAAAGGGCACAGTGAGCTCCCCTGGACACCACCTTCAGGGACTGAGCTATGAATTCCCATGGCTTAACTCCAAACCTGGAAATCGTAATTGAGAAACATTACTGGACACTTTCTCTGTGCTTAAGCCTGGAGAGAAAGTATTTAATACACTTCCGAGGAACAAATGAAAGACGCTAAATTATCAGAACTTTCAAATGAGGCAAGGGGGCAGCCAAGCTTTGAAGTCAGACTGGATTCAAAACCTAGCTCCACCATTTAGCTGTGTGACCTGGACAGCTGGCTTACTCTCCCTCAGTCTCTGTTCTGTCATTCATAAAAAAGGGATAATGGTAACACCCGTCCCAGAGTGTGAACAGGTACCTGCTCAGATGGGGGGCCGTGCGCACGAGGACCGCTCTTGTTCTTGCTGGGTAAAAGTTGTACAGACAGATTTACCCCAAGGAGGAAAAGAGGGCATGCCTACAAACTCAGCTGACAAGATGTTAACTCTGCCCTGACCAACAGAAAGCACGTGCTGATGCTAGTTTGTTAGGAAAGGGAAACGCCTCATCCACATCTTCTGTCCTGGTAGGAGCGACTGCACATTTCACCATTCTGGGTTGTCACCAAGACCCTTAAGCAGATCAATTTCACCAAAGAAAGTGAAAACCAGACTGGATCACTCAAGTACTCAGGGTTCAATTAGGAACTCAAGAATTCAGCACACCTTGCCTGGTCCACTGACCACATCCTGGATTACAAAGGCTGCTTCCGTGGACAGTAACAAAAATACCAGTGCATATAGGAAAGAAAAACACGGAACTGCCTCTAAGAGACCCAATAACCAATAAGCAGATTGAATTGTTCACTTATAGAACAGGTTGTTTAGAAGGCCAAATAGTCAGCAAGGACGCAGAGATATACAGCCTTAACCTAAAAGGAAAAATCACCAGTTCATTCAGAAAAAAAATCATCACTGCTGCCCCTGATTTGTTGAGAATTCTGTTCTGCTGCTTCAGATTGCTGTGGAGTAGCTGGTGTGTTCAAGGTGAGTCGCTCCACTTGGGATCTCATGCTAATCAGGTAGACTATCTCACAAAGGCGTCTTCTCACTAAGTCAAGTGACCCATGTGGCCTGGCTTTAAGTTCATAAAGGACAACAGGTCATAAGGAAGTATTATTGCTACTGATGGGATAAAAGGATATTAGAAAGAAGTGTATGACATCAGGAGAAGAACGAGGCAAATATTAAGACTGTGTGCTTTTGATCTATCATCCAGCTTCTGGAGTGACATGTTTTATATTTGAAAGACCTAATGTCTAATGTTACATAATTAGAGTCAAAATAACACACTGCTGCAGTCCACAATTCCATATAACAACGTCAGGCCTAGGCCTAATCGTATAATTTCCACCTGTCATGCTTATCAGGAGGAAAATATACAGCTTTACAGCAATTAATGTGGCGAAGAACTGAAACACAGTTACTGGAGAATACAAAATGTTTTTTTTGCAAACGTATGTGCTCTTTCTAGAGGTCTTGGGGGATTAATAATTTGCACTAGGTAAAAATAGATGTCCATTTTAGACTACTGAGCCTGAAAAGAAAAGGCAAACACAGTATTTCATAAAGGAAATATGTTTCTCTTTTGTCTGTTTTTCTCGAATCCTAAAAACTGTGAAAATACAAATTCTGGCTGTAAGAGAGACGGAGCGTTGTGGACAAGCAGCCCCAAACTGGCACGTGGCTCGTGACCCGAGATAAGGTACTGACACCACCTTATGGCGACCAACTGTTGTAAATTCCTGCCCTGGGATGGCATCAGGTCACAGACACTGCATAGCCTATTGAGCCCAGGAAGAATGAAAATCTCTGATTAACAATAAACGTTGTAAAGTCGTACACTGTGCTGTACACATAAGCAGTTTATCAAAAAGCTACTGTGGGCTTGCTTTAAAGAAAGCACTGAAATGACTCGCTTAGTCAAGGCATGGCTAGTACCTTCTGCCACAAGGCTTTTTAGATTAATATTATCAGCCCTAAACTGAGCACATTTCATTTCCTAGACATTCTCATGATTTTAATTTTTTTCCGTCTTTGAACTGAATCACGTGTGTCCTGACCTTTGGTGAAATTAAACACAAACTGTCGAAATACAATGACAGAGGATAAATTTTGGATTAACTCTACTGTTAAGAAGCAACTGACTTTGGCTGAGCGTCCCCTTAGGTTAGAAGTGACCACAAGACGGGCTTGCCTGTCTGCCAACCTGGATGCTGGCAGGTGGTCACAAATGGCAACAGTACAGAGTGAAGTGGTGTTTTTTTCCTCCCATATATAAAAACTGGAAACTGCCAAAATTCAAGCATGCAGAGGGGGGCAACAGAGGGTAACTAGGGAGGAGGAAAGAAAGAAGAAAGGACCACAAGGACAGGAGAGGAAGGACAGCAGGTCATTCCGCCTCGCAGTGTGTGGGACAAGCATTGGGAGCAGGGCAAGGAACTCTGCTCTGAGAGCCAGCGCCTACGTGTACTCACCGAGTGGAGGAAAGCCCCGAGCGGGGCTCGTATCGCGGCTGCTCTCACAGCTGGTATTGCGGCTGCACCCCTGACTCATGCTGGGTCGAGGGATACGGCTGCTCCGTGCTAGTGTGCAGCATGAGGGGTTTCAGAGAAGGTGAAGAAGTTTAATGAAGACAGAAAAACTCACAAAACGTCAGTTACATTCCGTTAACGTAATCATGACATTGCCCGCGCCGGGGGTTCGTCGTGAGGACTCTCCCCGCTGAGGCCTCACTGACTCGCGTGCTGACAACAGGAGAGGGTCTGTGTAAAAACTCGATTATGCTCAATGCTTCGGAAAGCTGTGGGTTTTTTTATGGAGGTGAAATAACACCTAAATGTAAGAAATGAAAAGAAAGCTTTCCAAAGAACAATCAGGAAATACAAGGTCAAAAGCGTTTCAGAAAATGATCATTTTTTACAGCTTTAGCCAACTTCTCATCAAGATGATAAAAGACTAAAGCCATTTTCATATACGCTCTGTTGTTAGAAAGATAATTTACTTTGGGTTAAAAAGCAGAATAAAGGCTCTGGTCACTGAAATACATGAACTTACCTAATTAAAAGGAAGGGGGCTCATCTTTCTAGCCTGGGCTTCTTTACAAAGAGAAGTCCTAAGGACTGACTCAGCTGGAGAACCTGCCCACTCCAAGCAAGTATCTAGATGCTTCCAACATACTTAATTATCTAAACCAGCATAAACAAAGGGTTGGGATTGCTATCCCTTTATTTACTGGTCCCAACATTTAATCTCTGCTTTTTCTATGGGAACCCAAACAGGTTTGCCTGTGGTCCCCTACTCAAGCACTCTTATCCGGCACGCCTTACACATGAGTCAACAGCATGTGAACTACAATCCCAATATTCGTGCTAAAAGACCCCCCCACTGACCTAAGAACAGCCAATTACTGTATGATTATCCACGGATAACTTTATTATACTCATTCGTTATACTGCAATAAAATCATCTGTGGATAATGGATTAACAATGACTGTATTGTCACGTTATAAAATGCTGAGAAGACAGAGTCACATGAATAACTGAAGGTCTAACATAACTGGGCGGTAAAGCTCAGAGAAGACCATGGTGTTTTTGGTTTTTAATTTAACTTGAGGAACAAAGACACAACTGGCAAAATACTCAGAAATGATCCTGCTTACTGAATGTGGGGACAATAAATCTGTCCATCTTGAGTGGGTCTACAATTCTGGGATGGACAGAAATGTCTTCCCGAAAACTTTGGAAAAAATAAACTTGATTCACTGATGTAAAAGCAGCCATGTTTATTACATCGTAATGAGGATGGCCTATGATTTCAGAGCCAAGGTGGATTTACTACATGAGCATACTGGAACAAGAACGTCTTACAAACCAGAATCATTAAATTCCTTGACAAAGGAGAACACGGAAGTGAGAAACCAAACCAGCTCCCCACTGTGGTCTCTGTTCAGTGCTAGAGTTGAACCAGACCCTACGGTTATGTGACAGACAGCCCAACGCTTGGTCTGCACTGGCAAGCAAGGAAAAACTCAAGCGCAGGAGTGCAATCTGAGCAAATCCGTCAAGACGGGCCTCATGTGGGACTCGCCAGTGCTTCCTACATTCTCCTTCATTTTGCCACAGTGACGTGGAGGCACTCAAAGTAGCAGTGACTATTTGATCAACAGATTCTTCCTGATAATTCTAAACCAGCTCATGGCACATGGCCTGAATGTTAAAAGCCTCAAAAAACGAGGGAGCACCCACTGATACCAACACATGGGAAGTTGCCTAGAACCTATGAAGAAATGTTGCTTATCCCTAAGAGGATCAATACCACATCCAATTTGTGAAATGACCTCCCTGGTCCAGCCACTTTGCCTCTCCTGTCTCAGCCGCCCCGCCTAGGAATGGTGAAGAAAGAACCCAATCAATTAAATGAGAAGGGTACTGTGACATAAGGTACCTACATGAGCACCTCCGAGTTCCTTGCTGAAAGGCATCGAAAATCTTATCTTATTCCACCACCCACTCCAAAACAAATAATCAAAAACAATAAAAACAGTCCTGATGGTGTTTCACACTTGCACACACTTAAGTTGAGCATTTTCTTATTGTTCTTGACTGATTACTTGTTACTCTGCTTCCACTCCCTTCCTTCAATTAATGCACATGTTAGAACAATGGGAAATCCCTGCTCTCTCCCAGGCTGAGCCTGCTTTGTGAAGGCAAAAAAGATCATGAAAAGGGATAAGCAGACATGCTCAGAAACAATAATCTGCATAATTCTTAACAAGGTTTACCCTCTTACTATTTCAGCCAGAGAAAGTTAAGTCACCCATTTGTGCTGACTGGCTTCTTCAACATAGGCTAGTAGTAACATATACAGACAGAATTCTGTTTACAATTTTCTGAACATCTGCCCACAGTTGCCCCATGCGTCATTAACGAGTATCAGTGATGACAGCAATAGTTCAAATGCTGGGTAATTTAAAACACGAGAGGAGTAATGCCTACTTCTAATACCATTTCCAAAGACCACTCTACCCGGAGGATTTTAAGAAGTATATCCATAAATGATTTTTATAAAGCCAATTAACTAGGTGGTCAAAGCTAAAAAACAACATACCAAATTAACCTCATTAGGGAGTGCCAAAACTGTTCTCTGGGAGAATATGTGATGTGAAGGCATAACAGAAGAGGGAGAGATGATGAAGAGACGCTTGCTGTGTGACTTTCTGGAAGCAGTATTCTTAGGTGGTTCTGTGGTGCTGTGCTTACAGGAAAGGCCAGGAAGCCTTGAAAACCCATTTGATGGGCTTTCATTTCTTAAGAGACACTATACTTCTGTACAGTTTTCAGGGAATCCTGACTTCTGCCCTTTAAGGCAGAGATGAGTCCTACCAGAACTCCCATCAAAAGCAAAAGTCCAAGAGGAATAATGAGAACTACCCTGAAGTACGTCTATAGTCTGTTATTTTCATGTTTTGGTCTTGCACACAGGAGTCTAATTTAACAGGGGACACTGACACCTGTAAATTTTTGTTTTCAAAATATTTTTAACCAGAAAATCTGAAAACATTTTAAATGTATATCCACAGGATGTAAGCTACCAACAATCAAAAGTTTTTATTGCCTTCTCAAGACATGAGTGGAAGGAAACTAAGCTTCCAAAATATAATTGCTATAGATATTACCTATTTGTACGACTTTATTATTAAAAAAATTTTTTTAACGTTTATTTATTTTTGAGACAATGCGAGAGACAGAGTACAAGCAGCGGAGGGGCAGACAGAGGGACACACAGAATGTGAAGCAGGCTCCAGGCTCTGAGCTGTCAGCACAGAGCCCGACATGGGGCTCAAGCTCATGAACTGTGAGATCATGACCTGCGCCGAAGTCGGACGCTTAACCGACTGAGCCACTCAGGCACTCCATTGTACAACTTTATTATCCATCAAAAACGGAGTAAAACTCCAAAATGAAACAATTTATAATCTATTCTATTTGGCTGAACAGTTTGTGAAGGAATAAATTGCCAAGAAAAAAGAGAGCAGCAGGGTTTTATTCTGTTTCTTGGTTATATAACAGGAATTACATCCTGTTTTGCTTAAGAAACCTTACATGCTGAAGAAGAAGATATTTGGTGTCATTTTTACCACAGATGAAGCATAGCTGAACCAAACATAATTTGTAGATAATTTGTAGAATTAATTCTCAGTGCAAATTCCAAGCCTAGTTTAGCAATGATTAAAAATACTAGTTGGTTTGGGCACAAAAGGAAATACTCTTAAAAGATGCTTACCCTTTTTCTCTAAGTATTTCTATTTAAAGTTGCTATACGATGAACCAAATGTTTATAGACACATAGGCATACACCCACTACTGACTAAATGATCACAACAGTGGACAATCTACTGCTAAAGATACTAATATATGCGACATCGTATAAAATGGAATCTCTCAGCAGTACTATAGGAAGAAGTGGGAAGATTTACTCATTTATCTACCTTTGTATCTATGTATGTTCTCACCATGTACAGAAATTTAAATAAAATACCTTTTTAAGTCAGAATGACATATATGACCTCTAAGCTTTACACATAACTACTCCCCCTTAATGGGCATCAAGGTGAGAACTTTCTTCAAAATATTGTTTCAAAAAAGAACTCTTCAGAAGAAAATAGGTTCCTATTCAGTTTTTACTAATGGATGATGTTTCACAGTGCCTCTTGTAAATGCTTATTAAGTGTTGTCTTTTCAACTATCCATAACACAAAATTCATAGTTAAAACCATGAAATACCAGGTCCTAGAGTTATGTCAGACAACCTAGGGTGGTTTCTTTCCCAATTTCAGGAAGAAGGTAAAAATGGCACCTTTAATAGTATGAAAAGTAAAATCCCGAAAAAGCAAAGAATTTTTAAAAGGATGAAACTACTCTGGATTGCCAAGAGACATTCTATACATTTAATTAACTACTGAAAAAGGACAGCCAAAACCTCACCACCAGGTGTGAAATCAAATGCATTTTCCAAACAAAACTAGATCCAAACATACACGTTACAGCCTCAAATCTGAAATTTAGACATTCCAGTCATGATATTTTCTCTGGTTGTATCCATGTAACTTGTAATCACTGGATCCAAATAATTTGTCAGCTCAGGGACCATGCTATGTAACACCCAACAGAAAGCTGAGATTGTGTACAATTAACAAAACCACTGCTTGAATACGTTTCAAATTTGCTTTGGAAATGTTAGTCAAACCAACTCCTACCCATTCCACTTCTTAAATATGTGGCCCTGCCTTCTTGTAGCTCAGGCGGCCTGTAAGGACTTTCATGAGCTGGACCCTCCCAGCCCACCTGCCCTCCTCTTGCACTCACCCTGACCAACTCCCTTTGCTGTAGCCAAATGAACGACCTGTGCCTCTCACAGCCCATTATGCTCCCTCCCATCTCACTGTTCCGGCACATGCTCCTGTCTGCCCTAGAACACCCTTCTCCTCATCTCTGTCCCCCGCCTAATCTTACCTTACTCACCATCAAAATGACCTATTCTGGGAAGCCTCTCCTAGCAGGCAATCTGGGAGAAGTGGGGCAGACAAGGGCACTCCGTTTCTGTGGTCCCAGAGCAGGGCAGACAAGACACTCCGTTTCTGTGGCCCCAGAGCACTATGTCACAGTATCTACTGTACTGTCTCTCACGTTTCCACCCTTAGGACCACAAGTTCTTCGAAGTCAGAAGCTACATCTATTTTATCTTCTGATCCTAAGGTGTAATAAAGTGCCTGGTGCATCACAGGAAACGTTCACGTGAAAGTTGCTGATGAGATAAATAAATGAGAACAAGAAGCCGACAGGACTTAAGAATACAGCAGTACTCTGATTTCACATTAATAGATTTTTATCCTTAGAAAGCAGGTAGAAAGAGTATAAACATAAATTTCTCATAATATATTACAAAAGACTTCTTAGTACTACATAGGTGGTGTATAATTTAGATTTGAATAGAATAACAGGTCTCTAAGCTGCTGAGAGTAATTCACGTAATTCTACTCATTGTCACAGAGAAACTAAATACTGTAACACGAAAGTATCATATATTTGACTTTAATTTATTCCTAGGTTTCATGTTCGAACAATACTATGTCAAAAGTAACTACTCATGTTCTTTTGACCATAAGTTCCACCAAACAGGTTAGAGAAGATCAAAATCAAAATAAATGTGGACCCTACAAATTGCTTTTGAAAACATACACAGATTAATGGAGACTTAGTGCTAATCCATGAAAAAAAGGATGAAAAGCAACAATGCTGCTGTGAAGAGAACAATCCTGCCCACTCCCCCAGTTCTAACATTCTGTGAGAGCTCTCAGGTACAAAAGCCCAGACGGATGTAATTCTTTCCCGTCAATCTGAATGGTGAGGCCCATGTATTTTTTTAGTTGTAACTCAAACCTGAACAGGCCATAATCTGTAAAAAGTGCAAACCAGAATGTCTTTTTAACACAGGCAACGTGACACCCCCAGTTCAAAAGTAAATCTCTACTTCCAACATTAGACAAAGCCATTAGATTATAATAAAAATTACCACCAAGTTAGGAATGGTATTTCAAGGTCTTTGAGGATCCTTACCTAATCCTATCCGGTTTGGACTGGTTTCTCGGCTACATCCCTGACTCCTGGGGATCTTGCTTCGCTTCTCTGAAGAGGGAGTCACAGGCGGGCCTCTTGAGGAACCCCCGGCAAGGCCACCATAACTACTTCCCAACAATTTTCCCGGGGAACTTGACCGGCTGCCAGCTAAAAATGAAACAAAACAAAACTGAAAAATGGATGTAAATCAGGGAATACAACTATAATATTACAATTTCAGAAGTCAGCTTACACATTAATTTGGATCAAATACTAAGAATTTCATATAAAAATGGCTTTCTTGTGGGTAGTAGTACTGATTTTTTTTTTTTTTTTTTTAAATACAGGAGCGTAAAAGAGCTTCAAATAACATAAGAGAATGTATCCACAAAGAAGAATTACTGGCGGAGTTCTACGAAAATGACAGCAAGATTTCTGATTCAAAACAGTGGACTAAGTATAAACAGCTCCCCGTTCCACAGCAAATTTCTACAATCACAAAGGTGTTTACTGTTTTGCTTTTTTATTCTGCAAGAGTTGATATGCTGAAAATTTTAAGTATAATTGCGAGAATTACAATAGAAACTTCCTAAACATTAATGGAAGAAAACAGACCCAAGAACACCCCACTAACTTAATAAATGGAAGAAAAGAGGGCATGAAGAAGAGGCAACTAAAAAAAAATAATAAATAAAAATCACAAATAAAATGGTACGAATAAACTCAAGCATGTCACTAACCATAATAAATGTGGCTGGACTAAATTAATCTCTTAAAATAACAGCGATTCTTGGATTGGTTTAAAAAATAAAATGAAATTCAACTACATACTGTTAGTAAGAAAGAAACAACATACCTAACACAAAACAACAAAACAGAGTAAGACAGCATTAAAAAAGGACAAAGGACATTTCATATTGATAAAAGAATAACTGTCCATAAAGATATAATTGTCATAAACCCTTATGTTCCAAATAACATAGCTTTGAAATATAAAACATAAAACTGATAAAAATATAGGGAGAAATTAAGAAGACCATGATTATTAATGTACCTCTAAGAAAGATACTAACTACTGAACCTAGTAACTAATAAAAACCTTTAAAGGAACACAACCTGGAAATTAAACACACACACACTCCATCATTCAAATGAATCACTAAGGTGACAAATCATAAAATTAGGACTTTATAATGACTTAGCTACAATTTAAAGTGAAATTCATTATAGAAATCACCAGTACGCATCACCACGAAGAACCTGTCTTAGGACTTCATAATCTTGCCCATAAACTTTGAGCACACAAATGAATTATTAAACTGTGTAAAAAGAGAAAAATCCATTTTAAACACTAGAATTTGAACATAACAGAAAAAAAAATGCAGAAAGATTAAGCTCATAATAGGGAGAGAAATTAACATTGTGCAAGGAACATGGGGTGAGGGAAAACACTAAAAAAAAAAAAAAAAAAAAGCAAGAAGAGAAACGGCTTACCACCAGCAGGATTAGCAGATCTGGATCCTTGATTATGAGAGCAGACCAAAGGACAGGCAAAAAGTGGATTAAAAGACAATAGCACAATACAGAAGGTCAGCATGCAACACAACACAAATGTCTTTGTTCACAAACACGTTAACAAATTAGCTATTTCTTCTAGGTCTCTTTCCTTTTTGCCACTTTTGTACTTATGTTGATTTTACTCATATCATACTCTATTGGCACTGACTTCAGGTCTGTCCATGTAACATTCAGGAACCTACATGTGTCAGGTGCAGGAGATGCAGAGAAGACAAGTGTCTTGCCCTCCAGAAGCACATCTATACTCTCTAGTTCTGAGCAACCAAGAGAAGTGACCGCATCCTACTCGTTTATGTGTTACTGCCGCCTTAAGTGGTGCTGCTTACTACCTAGGAAGTGCTCAATAAACTTCAATGAATTCAAAGAAACTGCTATTAACTAGTTTCACCTGAATGTCCTATGCCAAATCCTCAAATATTAAAACATTAATTTTCACATATTTAAGTCGTCAAATATTTAAAATATGCTTGTTAACTCTTAAGGGCCCTAAATCTAATGTTAACGAAATCTACTTAGTACTCTACTGGCACTATGAATGCTAAGTATACCTACGTTTGTAAAACATATAAATATGCTCATATTTACTTCCTATTAAAATAACTGTTCAAAAAATACTTAATTTATATGACTAAGCTTGAGGTCCAGCCTTGATCATTTGCTGGTGTTGTCTCCCTTCCTAGGAGGGGAATTTGGTGAGTAAAATGAAACTGAAGACTTTTAAAGTGGAGCCCCAAGACAGAGTGCAGTATTTCTATAAGACTGAGGAACGGAAGCTCTAATCATCGAGACTATAGAAAATTCCTCTGCAAGAACGTCATCTTCACCACCTGCTAAGCAGAGGAGCCAGGCTAGGGGGCAGGAATCCCTGCAGAGGCCAATGGCAATAAATAGCAGACACCGAGAACTGTAAAGTACTATCCAAGCTCACTCCAAGAAAGGAAAGAACACTTCACAGCTAAAGAACATTTTTTATTAAATTCAATCTTAATATACTATCTCAATATGGAGTCTTGAGTATCTTTTGTCAAGAAAAATTTCTCTGCAAGAAGACCTGACTCATGACCAGAGTATCAGATCCATCTGTGACTCCAGGCATCGCTAGGGTTCAAGAGAATAACCAGAGCCTGGATATTGTTCCCAAGGTAGAAGCTGCTGGGCCACAGCTGTACAATCCGTGTCGTGTTGTACGTTGTGATACGCTAGATGCGTGGGCTTCTGCTTCAGACGATCCTGGCAGGAATGTATGACTGACATTCTACTTTTCTTTTCAGAAAGGAGATACGCTTGTTTAACACGAGGCCTGGAGTTACCAGAGGGACATGGGAGTATTCACAAGGAGCTGAGAAAGGCATTCTAAATACTAAGGAGAACCTAAGGTTTGGCCACAGATGGAATATTCTTGACACAAACCAGACAGCTCCTCGGGCCATGAAGGAAGCAGACACACATCTACTAGACAGTGCTGGGCTGAGGGCCTGTGTGCAGCTCCCGGGGAAGGAGAGCCTTTCTCGGCCACACTCATCCTGCCCAGGAGAACTCGGACCCCCAGCACTACTCTACACACGCACTGAGGGAGTGGGAGACTCAAAAGCCAAGTGTGGCTGGGGAGCGAGACACCAGGGTGGTTCCGAAGAGCGATCTGAACACATTCCTTCCATCTACGGCTGCTTTCGTGGCTGATGCTAGCAAAAGCCAAGTGACCCGACACGTACAGACACGCAGTAACGGAAGCGAGGGTAGTTGGGCAAAGCGGGGCCTACGCTGGCAGGAAGAGAGGAGCAGGCTGCAAATGTTAGAACAGAGGGTTAAAGGGGACAGCTGTTAATGGATTTGCTTATTACCACTCGAAAGAGAACTCCACATTAAAATAATCCCCAGGTATTGCTCTTAAATTACATCAGAGGGAGTCCTTATCGACAGTAAAATGGGTCATAGCCCAGATTTATCTCAATTTGAGATGCTTGAGGAAAGGCAGAGAAACCACATTTTAATCATTAATGCTTAATAATACAAAACTTAAATCACCTGGCAAGGAGACAAAAGTACACTTGAATACTCCATTTTGTGAGCTTACTCAACGAACATCAAGACTACTCACGGTATCTCACAGCCACACAGATGTGGTTTTCTCCTGAAGTACTGAAAATATTATAAATCTTTCAACTGTAGAGTGAGCTGATTGAACAAAACTGACACAACAGAGAGTATAAAATATACTTCTTACGCTGGGACTGTGAAACCACTTTGGCGCGACTGCGGCCTCGATTATCAGGTGTGGTGGCGACACTGGTGGCACTCCCGGAGCTCTGCCGTCTCGTGCGGATCCGACCTGGAGGATGTGCAGCAAAAACGGGGTTTCCATAATGTTTTCAATCAGTGTGACCTACTCAAGAACGCAACCCACACCACGAACAAGAGGCACCGACGGGGCCACCTACAGGGGGCGCGGGTCTTCCTCACGAGCGGTCCTCACCCATTGCCCTGTGTGCACGCCCGTGTATTTGACCGGCACCCAGAAGTTCTACAGATATGTTAGTTACTCCTGAGAGTAAGTCATGAACCCGGAAGGTGCTTCTGTTTTTGTTATTCTAGCATACTATATTTTCAGATGAGGAGATGACAGCTATTTGAGGATTTTTCCCCCAATTTTTTACACATGACATTTTCTAGTTTATCATCTACAAACCTGTCAAATTTCCAAAAGCAGAAAATATGAGCAGTCATCTTAAGAAAAATACTACAGAAAAAAGAATAAATGCAAACACACACACACGCCAAAAAAACCCTTAAAACTCAGCAAGCAACAAAAGCTACAGTACCCTGGAGAATAAATAGGTTTTGACAGGTAGCAATAAACTTCTATTTTAAAGCATGTATGCCAACAAGTTTCTAGGCTGCAAAGGATGAAGAAGGCAGAATCAGTATTAGGAGTACCTAGAGAAACAACCACCTAAAAATAACGCAATGTCATAGGCAGGTATGAAAAAAATTTGCTATTGTAAGTAAAGCAATCTGTTAACTCCCACTATTAAACCATGAAACCATAAAAACAAAAATGAATTCAAACCCTAAGGCTTGAACAAGGTTCAAGAAGGGAGGGGAGGAGCAATAAAAGTACTAACTTAAGAAAAAAAAATTGAAACTAGAAGGAATCCATGGCTTTTAACGGCAGTTTAAGTAAAAACACACAAATTCTAGAAACTGTACTAACAGCTATTATATGGTATTATATTAAGAGCTGTATGTACGTGAACCCGGAATCCTCATAAGAACATAGAATTATTCCCATTTTACAGATGGGGAAACTGAGAAATGGGGATTAATTAATTTGTCTAAGGTCACACCACTAGTTTAGCTACCTGTGCCTGCCTGGCCAACTGGCTGGCCAACCTGAGTGAGGAAGTAACCACACTGAATCAAGGTGGTCACCAAGGCAAAGTCAACATGAAAACCAACTGAATCTCACTTCCTATTTCAAATTTACTACAAAATATTTAGGTCACAAAAACATACTTTAAGTGAACATCCATACCCATTCAGCTTAAAACATATAAATCTTTGCTAGTGTCTCTGTACCCCCTACCTTCTTCCAACATTTGGTAACCTGATCCTAAACCTAGCATTCATCATCCTCTAGCATTTCTTTTAATACATTTACTTGCATAACCAAGCAACAGATGGCATCATTGTATACATTAAAATGCTTTTAATTATATCATAAGGTATGTATGTTTCTAAAACTTACTGTTTCGCTTAACATTTTATTTGTGAGGTCACTTATGGAATTGATTCTTCTGTAGGAGGTACAGGAAAGATCCACTTTATTTTTTCCATATTACTAACCAGTGTCCAAATGAACTTTCTTACCCCCTTTCTTACTGACCTACAAAGCTGTCTTTGTCATTTACCAAGTACTTAAAATACATGTGTGGACTTGTTTCTCAATTCTCTAGTCTGTCCCGTTGATGTGCGTGTCTACACCAGTAAACATCACAATGTTAGTATTAGCTTTAAAAAAAAAATCTTGCTAATTGGCAGAGAAAATCAACCCACTTTTTCCTAAGGCCCTTTGCTCTCTTCCAAGTGCTTATAAAGATACAGGTTAAAATGGTCTCTGTTGAAATCTTAACTGGCATTATGTGGAATGCAAGGTTAATTTGGGGAGGAAAGGAGACAGCTTTATGATATTGATGTTTCTATGTTTTTTTTCCTTTACTTATTTCACTTTAAAGTCTTACTCAATTTTTACAGACTTATTCAAAAGGCGCCTTATTTTGATGACACATAAATATGTTATTAAATTATATTTTCTAACTTCTTGACAAATATGAATTAATCTTTGTATTTTGATCTTGATTCTGGGAACCCTGCTAAACTTGTGTTAATTCTACTAGCTTGTACATAGATCATTTGGGGTTATCTAAATAGAACACCATCTACAAATAAGACTTCAGTTTTTTTCCCTTAAAACTCTACCCCTTCGGGGCGCCTGGGTGGCGCAGTCGGTTAAGCGTCCGACTTCAGCCAGGTCACGATCTTGCGGTCCGTGAGTTCGAGCCCCGCATCGGGCTCTGGGCTGATGGCTCAGAGCCTGGAGCCTGTTTCCGATTCTGTGTCTCCCTCTCTCTCTGCCCCTCCCCCGTTCATGCTCTGTCTCTCTCTGTCCCAAAAATAAATAAACGTTGAAAAAAAAAAACAAAAAACAAAAAACTCTACCCCTTCATTTCTCTGCCTTTATCCTGCTGTCTTAGGACATGTAGTCCACGCCCACATGGGTAGGATTTGTTGCTTTAAGCCACATTAAAAAAAAAAAAAAAAAATCTGGAATTTCACAAAAAGTATGGTATTTCAACATGCTAAGAAAACTCCTTTCTATTCCTAATTGCTAAGAATTTGCCAAAATGTTTTTTTTTTTGATGCTTTCCCTGCATCTTCTGAGATAAAAGGATTCTCCTAAATGTGCTGAGCTCCATCAGCAAGTTTCTAAGCTCTGAAACCTGAGCTAAACCCCCACACTCACGATGTACACACTCACATACACAAGATGTCTTGACTGTACCTTCTCTGGTTTATTGCTAAAGGCTGCATTAAATGAGTGAAGAAGTATTCCCACTTTTTCTTCTCAGAATTTATGGAAGACTGTGATTCTCCAATGCCTCATACAATTTGCATTTCTTTATCCTGTCAAGTGAACGTTTAATTCCTATTTCATTAACTTGCACTCTTATCTTTATTATTTCCTTCCTACTCTCCTTTGGGTTTATTCTGTTCTTTTTCTAACAAATTGGAAAGAAACTCCTAAATCACTCTCTTCGAATATAACCTTAAGGCTATGAATATTCCTCCAAGTACTGCTTTTGCTTCATTCCGTAAGGACTGATATAGTTCAACATAATATGTTGCTTTAAAAAAACACATTACTAGATCTTATTTGCTAATGCTTTGCTTTGGAAAAATAAGTTGAATCCATATTTCACATTCACTCTTTACACTAAGAAAAACAGCAAATGAACCTAAGATTAGAATGTAAAACATGAAACCATAAAAGTTCTAAAAGAAAACATGGGAGAAATCCTTTGTAATTTGCAGTGGAAAAGTCCATTCTAGCTATGAAAGCCATTAGAAACAAAGATAGGTAAATCTGACTACTTATTTTGTAAAACCTCAACATGACAAGAAGAAAATGATGAGCAAGTTAAATTGGGAAAAATTATTTGCAATTCATATTACAAAGGGTTAATTTCTTTAACATATAAAAAGTTGTAAGAAGTCCACCAACCAGTAGTGTGCTGGTAAATGTGTAACAATTGGCTGTGGGAGACGATTCCTCACTGATTTGTGTTTTCCAATTTCCCTGGTGTCAATATTCCCAGGCCAAGTTCAGGCTACTGACATGAAATCAACCAGATTACAAAATGCCTGAAAATTTAACAATTAGCTGTCATGAACTAGTTCAAGACAGCTCCAGCACACCACTGGCACAACCCAATATAGAATGGACAAAGTCTAGGAACAGACAGTTAACAGGCAATAGAAATGGCTCTTAAGTGTATGAAATATTGTTCAGGCTCACTCGTAAGAAAACAAAATTAAAATGACACTGAGAATGCCATTTATCACCTATCAGACTGGCAAAAATCTAAGAATATGCCAATATTCTGGTGTGTAAAAATAGAGGCACTCTCCTTCATTGAGGAGTGGAAATTAATGTGGCCCCTACAGAAAACGACTTGGCAATATCTATAACAATTACAAATGCATGTGCTTCCTAATCCAGTAATTCCGCTTTTGGCAAATAATCCTATCAAATATGCTTGCAAACATGCAAACGGATGTATATAAAAGTTTATTCATGGCAATGTTACTTGTAATAGCAGAAGTCTGGAGGTAACTCCAATGTCGGTCAATAGGGAACTGGCTGGTTAAGGTAATAGCAGAATGCAGTACAGTGGTAATCAAGAATGACGAGGTCCTCTCTAATACGGAAAGGCCTCTCTAATATGAAGATACATAAGTGAAAATGCAGAATAGTAAATATGCTACCTTTCTTGTTTTAAAAGGAGAAAATACGATTTTTGTATTGCTTCTATATGCAAAGAAACTCAGCAAAAATGAAACTACAAGTTGTAAGACTAGGGTTGAAGGGAAAGACATGATAACTAGGCAAGTGAAAGGATGGGAGGGAGACTTTTAACTGTTTACCTCTTCCTATTTTCTGAGTTTTGAACCACATAAATGTATTACCTATTAGAAATTTATATTTTTACATATCGCTCACTCCAAAGGAGAATTTGCAAATGTTTTCTTTATATATTTGTAGGCTATTTTTATTAGGCCCATAAAAACAGGATAATTACATCTTTGCCACTTACTCATTTTTTATTACATAGCAATCCACCTTTGTAAAGGTTTTGCTTTATTTTCTGTTTGTTATTAATAGATCTTCAACAGCTTTCTTTTACGTATTTCTTATTCTTGTCTTTTACTCTATCTGCAGCCTTGTATTTTAGATTTGTCCCTTTAATTATCACATAGCTGGATCTTTAAAAACAATCAAGTTGGGACGCCTGGGTGGCTCAGTCGGTTAAGCATCTGACTTCAGCTCATGTCATGATCTTGTGGTCCGTGAGTTCGAGCCCCGCGTCAGGCTCTGTGCTGACAGCTCAGAGCCTGGAGCCTGCTTCGGATTCTGTGTCTCCCTCTCTGTCTGCCCCTCCCCTGATCATGATCTGTCTCTCTCTCTCTTAAAAATAAATAAACATTAAAAAAATTTTTTTTCAAGTGAATAAAATAAAAAAAATCCAGCCTGGGGTGCCTGGGTGGCTCAGT